GTGACAGACAATAGCCTTTGAGTTTTTGCAAGCAGGCAACTGGGGAGACGTCAGAACTGTTAGCAGCAGCGCTTTCGTTACCCACTGTGAAGCCGGGAAGTGGGAAAGTTTTAGAGAATCAGAGCAGACTACTTGTACACGAATTAGTTGAAGGCGAAGACGACTGTAGGTATTTTAATGAAGATCGCTGACTTCATTTGATATTTTTCATCTTTTGCAGTACTACCGAAGTGTTTGAAGATCACCATACCTCATGCCCTTGAAGCTCTTCTAATGTTTCTGCTGCCATCAGAACGGAGCGTTTGCGAAGCCTTCTTCCTTCTTTCTCTTCCTCCGCCTCCCCTCAGCAATCAAGACCCATTATTTAGCTTCAGGTCTCCTTGTCGTAGTGGCTCTAATAACTCGTAACCTGATCGGCATCTCGTTCGATTGCCCTGTTTTTTTTTGTTCTTGCTTTTTCTCTGCTACAACTCATCCTCATCCATTGCCTATTGATGCTCTCTGCATTATTACTATGAAAATTTCGTTCACTGGGAAGCTACCGAAGTGGTCTTGAAACCTTCTCCTACATTGTATTATGACTTGCTCTTCAGTTCGATACCTCCCTCGGCCCTGATGGTGTCCATTATTTGAAATGCTTGCGTAGCTCTTTTTCTGCTGGACGGCAATGTTTTCTCTTGACGGTCCTCCGTTCAGCGTATCGCACTTGATATCTAATTATATGTTCTGCTCACAGGAATGAATATTTTCTCAATCTTTCTAATATGGCGGCCAATGATTTCCGGGGTACTTTAGGTATTGAGATCTAGGAAGTTATTAACTTGATCTGTTAACTCAATACTGTATTTTGTCAATCTATGCAAGGTACCTAGTAACTAGTCATATTCTTCCGCTGTCGTCCCCTATTGGTGATGCCTCTGCCTCATACTCTGACCCTTCGCCTCATGCGGGTGAGATCTCACATCTGCGACCTTCTTGGCTTGACTGCATGATAACGGGAGACCGCATGTTCTTTTACGTCAACCACTCACGCGAACGACAATGCCAAGCCGGAAGAGAAGGGAGTCCCAACGTCTCGACTGCAGTCCAAGACGGCTACGCTGTATTACCCGTAGTATGTCAAGGGACAGGCGGAGGTGGAGTCGTGACAAGAGGCGCCTTACCACTCGCGTAGTCCCTGGGTCCCCGGGTCGACTCCCGCCCAAGTCCAACCAAGCCTCTTCTACCCCCGGGGACGGTAATTTGGTACCAGATTCGTCTGGGAGGATAAGAACACTGACTTGTACATCGGCTGGCCCCCGCAATTCATTGTAT